TTTGGGAGTCGAATGTTGCTTTCATATAGTCGACTCTTGGATGATGTAGAGTCGACTCTCCAGTCATAGAGTCGACTCTAACATGGAGTAGGATTTTCGAACCTCTCTAGAAGTTGAGAGTCGAATGTTGCTTTCATATAGTCGACTCTTGGAGGATGTAGAGTCGACTCTAAAATGGAGTAGGATTCTCGAACCTCTCTGGAATTTGGGAGTCGAATGTTGCTTTCATATAGTCGACTCTTGGAAGGTTTAGAGTCGACTCTTTATGTTTAGAGTCGACTCTAACCTGCAGCCCATGCTCGAGGGAATTTGGGAATCCAATGTTGCTCTTATACAGTCGACTCTTAGTCGGTTGATAGTCGATTCTTGATGTATATAGTCGACTCTAACATGCCTGAAATGTTCGAACCTCCCTAACATGCCCCAACTTTTGTATTTGTTCTTACTCCACTTTGATTTTACCATATCACATTACATACAATATCATTTACCATATCACATATTTTCAATTCATCACATTATTATAAATATGTACCACTTATATAATTCCCTCATCTCATAATCAGAAATTAAAAGATAAGTATATAGTATCACTTGCAACATTTAACATGACCATTCACATATTTTAAACTTGCAAGTCATAATAATATAGTTAATATTACCACAAACCATTCAATTCCAACTGACATATACACCCATGTCCTAACAAATTCAAATCACAAACCCATAAACTAAAAGTATTTTCCTCAAGTATCAAGAACATGCCAAGATTTGCATTCACAACCTCATGCACACTGATCATTCCGACCCAAATGGACCTTGGTAATCTGCATCAAATCTTGGCTGGTAACCATAATCATCTTGTGGGGGATTGGCTGCAGATGTACTTGGAGATCCTGATTGTCTCCCCATTTGGCCCATGGGGAATGCAGGTTCTATTGGCATTTGCATTGGCATTGCATGAGGAAATGATGGCCCACTAGCATGAAACGATGGCCCAGCAGTAGGGAATGATGTCCCTACAGGAGGAAATGCTTGCCCAGTGTGAGGCAATGATGGGGTAGCACTAGGCGGGCGCATCCCGTAGGCACTAAAAGCAGCAAATTGCTGCGATAGAGATGCCTGCATCCTCCCCATGTCTTCCAGCATCCGTTGCATTGCTTCTCGTTGCTCTTTGACTTGCCCTATTTCGTCTCGCATCATTTGCATTGCCTCCCTATCTTTGGCTTGTTTTTCAGCCATGTCTGATATCATTAGGCTCACATATGAAGTCCCCGTTGGTTGTCGTTTTCTATATGTAAACCCAAGTTCCTCTAGGTTTACCTGTGAACCAATTCCTGGCATGAAATTGCTGTGGCATCCCCCAACAGCAGTTGCCCAAGCGTTATTGTCCCGAGGTAGCCATGACGCTGAGTCCGAGCCATATGTAGCTGAGCACTCACTCACATATGTATCCTACAAAAGTAATGTAAAAAAAACTACAACATATAACTGCAAATTTTTAAATGTTGTATATACATAACAATGCTGAAAATGTAATGATTATTATTTACGAACAAGTGATAACAAAGTAGCAATCATCGAGAAACAATCAATACCCAAACAAAATTGTTTCATTAACACGTACACATACTAATACTTATTCATGCAAAATTTTTGTTATATTTTATTTAACACCACTAACTTTATTAATAATCCTTTTATTCACTTTTTCTAACAATCTATGTCACTCATATAAACTTTTTTATTTAGTATGTTCGCACTTACATGCCGAGTCTGATGTTTGTCGCCACACCATGGAGCTTCTTGTCCTTGAGTGACACCTTTTCGTAAAGTATGTGTTTCCTTGTATAGCTCTTGGTGTGCTGGCCTTACCCCCCCAGCAGCTTTGGTCTGTGTGTCACAACCATATTATAAGAGATTAGCAAGTTAGTATATTTATAGTTAATTGATAATTATACCAAAATAATATAACTTGTGTTCATTATCTATTATATATATATATACTTTTCTTTCTTTTC